TGGAAAGAGCTTCAGTCAGACGGGACACCTTTATGCACATCAAAGAATCCACACAGGAGAAAAACCATATAAATGCCTGGAGTGTGGAAAGAGCTTCAGTCGGATGGACTATCGTGATAGACACCAAAGAATCCACACTGGAGAGAAACCATTTAAATGCCTGGAGTGTGAAAAGAGTTTCAATCGGAGAGGATGTCTCCAGAAACATCAGAGGTTTCACACTGGTGAAAAACCATATGAATGCTTGGAGTGTGGAAAGAGCTTTACTGCGAGCGAACAGCTCCGCAGACATCAATGGATTCACAGAGCAGAAAAACCATATAAATGTCTGGTGTGTGGAAAGAACTACAGTGAGAAGAGCAGCTTTTTGGTACATCAAAGAATCCACACAGGAGAGACACCGTATAAATGCTTACAGTGTGGAAAGGGCTTCAGACGGAACAGCAATCTTCGTGAACATCAAAAAATCCACTCAGGAGAGAGACAACCGTATAAATGCCTGCAGTGTGGAAAGAGCTTCAGACGGAACAGCAACCTTAGTGAACATCAAAAAATCCACTCAGGAGAGAAACAACTGTATAAATGCCTGGAGTGTGGAAAGACCTTCAGTGAGAGGAACTGCTTATTTCGACATAAAAAAAACCATTCAGGAGAAAAACCTTATAAATGCCTGAACTGTGGAAAGAGTTTCAGTCTGAGGGGTACCCTTCATAGACATAGTAAAATCCATTCAGGAGAAAAACCATTTAAATGCCTGGAGTGTGGAAAAAGCTTCAGTCAGAAGAGCACTGTTAATAGACATCAAATAATCCACTCAGGAGAAAAACCTTTTAAATGCCCGGAGTGTGGAAAGAGCTTCAATACTAAAGGAAGTCTCAATAAACATCAAAGGATTCACACGGGAGAAAAACCATTTAAATGCCTGGAGTGTGGAAAGAGTTTCAATACTACAAGAAGTCTCAATCAACATCAAACGATTCACACGGGATTAAAACCGTATAAATGCCTGGAGTGTGGAAAGAGTTTTAATGAGAACAGCAGCCTTGATAAACATCAAAGAATCCACTCAGGAGAAAAACCTTATAAATGCCTTGAGTGTGGAAAGGGCTTCATTTGGAAGAGCAGCCTGTATAGACATCAAAAAATCCACTAAGGAGAAAAACAATATTAATGCCTGGAGTGTGGAAAGTGTTTTATTTGATGGTGGAAACCTCTCTAAACAACAAAGAATCCACACTGGAAGAAAAACCGTATAAATGCCTGGAGTGTGGAAAGAGCTTCAGTCAGAATGGAAAACTGTATAAACATTAAAAAAAAAATCACTTAGGAGTGAAGCCCTAAAAAAGCCTGGAATGTGGAAAGAGCCTCAATGAGATGAGCAACTTTTATCTACATCAAAGAATCCACTCAGGAGAGAAACTGAGATACGAACCTAATGGAGCCTTGCCATTTGGTTCGTAAGTCAAAAAACTTGTCCAATGAATCAGAGTCAATTTTACAATTTTTTAAAATTAAATTCATTAATTAAATCAAATGGCTTGTTAAAGGAACAAAGATCTGACTTGCTATTTCCTTGTATAGCTGCCATGTTAATTGAAGTGGGAGGGTTTCTCCGCCAGCTGCCTATCAGCTGTTTCTGGCGTGCTCAGGAACTAAATTGCCTCCAATGTAGCTTGGAGCCATTGCAGTTACTGTTTTTTTTAAAAAAACAAAAAACAAACTTCTCACTAATTCACTTAAAAGTCTCCAACCAGGCACCCAGAGGGAGATGGGAGAGGAATTTGCAGAACTCTCAGCTTGCAATAGTAGCAGAGATGGAAGGGACCTTGAGCTCATCTAGTCTAACCCACAGGTCACAGAAGAGAGTATTTCTGATAAATGCCTATCCAGTCTCTTCTTAAAAGCTTGCAGTGATGGGGCATCCACAACTGGATGGGGAGGAACAGGCTTCGACTCAACCCGTCCAAGACCGAGTGGCTGTGGTTTCCGGCGTCACGACATAGCCAGTTGGCTCCATCCCTGGCTATCGGGGGCGAGTCATTAGCCCCCGCGGAGAGGGCCCGCAACCTGGGCGTCCTCCTGGATACTCAGCTGTCTTTAGACGACCATATGACAGCCGTGGCCAGGGGGGCTTTTCATCAGGTTCGCCTGATACGCCAGTTGCGCCCCTTTCTGGATCGTGACGCTCTACGCACGGTCACTCAAACCCTCGTTTCCCGCCTGGACTATTGCAACGCTCTCTACATGGGGCTCCCCTTGAGATGCACCTGGAGGCTCCAGCTAGTTCAGAATGCGGCCGCGTGGGGGATCCTGGGGGCCTCTAGATACTTCCATGTAACACCTCTCCTGCGCGAGCTGCACTGGCTGCCTGTGGCCTTCCGGGTGCACTTCAAGGTGTTAGTAACAACCTTTAAAGCGCTCCATGGCAATGGACCTAGGTATTTGCAAGACCGCCTCCTACCAAACACCTCCCTTCGACCAGTCCGCTCCCACAGAGAGGGCCTCCTTAGGGTGCCGTCGGCCAGTCAATGCCGGCTGGCGACCCCCAGGGGGAGAGCCTTCTCTGTGGCAGCTCCTGCCCTCTGG